CAAATTTCGTTAATCCCACACGTTTTTATAGCTCGATAACTATCCGTAAATTTGGACAACTAAGTTCCTGTGTCTATAAATTTCGACAACTCAGTAAACATTGATCAGTTTGAATAATTCGATACGTAGCGATAACTTAATAAGCATGGATAAATTTCGATAATTATAAACTTCGATGATTCGATAAATTTCAGTAACCTTTATGGCTGATTTTATTTCGATTCCTATCGGAAAATTTCAACTCTGTTAACCTAATTGTTTTGTATTTCTCATTGTCTCCATTTTCGCCTTATCTCAATTTTCGTTTTTATCTTCACGTTGCCTTTTTTATCTTCATCGTTATCACTTGTTTCTTCATCTTCATATTTATCTTTATTTCAAAGTTTAATTTCAAATACGAAGTAAAACAAAATGCGAAACGGCTTAAATTGTACAGGTTGCAAAAACAGCCATACACAAATATGAAAATTTTTAAACGACGATTTTCAACCAATTTCGAAACTATAAAAACTACCAGGTATGCGGACCTTAAAAAGGTGAAAAATGATAGTTAACAAGCAAGCAAACAAGAAAGGTGTAAAAATCACTTACCTTCATATATTTCTCTATGGGTCCGGGCGAATACTTCACGACCCGGATGTCGACGATTGGGGTATCGCTCTGCATAGAGTCTTTGAGCAGCTCTGGCATTACAGCAAGCTTCACCGTAAATTAGGTGAATATCCGCATATTCATGCGACGTATACTGCGTGTTCTCTGTCATAGTATTAATAACACAATGTTCGAAGGGTCCCATTTCACAAAATCCACTTTCACTAACTCCGGTAAGTAACATTAAATAAGGTAATAATACAGGTACAGGTAGTACTATTTAGCATGTCATTGGTTGGTAACAAGAGCAACTTAAATTTAAATCTATTAAATACTTTCTAGCGTGTCTCAGCCCTTGCCCACAAAAGCGGCTATAACTTTTTTTTTTCTATTCGAAACAGTAAGAGTGGCACATTTCTGAAATCTTTATTAAATGAACAATTTTTTATGTATTGTAAAGTTATAGCTCAGTACATTTTTTTTCACCAGAGATAGTCAAAGTTGGGGAAGAAAATATCAAAAAGTTAAAAATCCCAAAATAGTCATAATTTTATGATGGTTCCTTAATATATTTTAAATACTTTACATTTGAGTATGGAGAAGCAATTATCTGGAAATCAGTTAAAGAAAATTCATGAAAAAGCCCGATTTTTTTTTTTAAATAAAAAAATGTAAATATTTCAAAAACGGTAACACTTTTACCTGAAAATTTTTTGTTTATCAGAGAGCGACACCCTAGTAAAAGGAATAAGTCCCACATTTTTCAGGTCAAAATTTCAGCTGGTTGCGCCTGTATGGCCTTTTAAACTTTATAGACAATAGTTTTTAGTGGAAAAACAAATCTCGATAATAATTATATCTCTAAGCGAAAAAATAAAAGTCATAAAATAATCATTATTTGCGATCGAAAAAATAAAAATCAACTAACAGGGCAATTCTCGCCACTTCTACTCACCACAGTCCTTCGAAAGACAATTATCAGTTCTGGCAAATATCTTGAAAGCTCTTTACAGCATTTCGAAAAACTAAGTGGAATATCTGTTTAGGAGGAGGTCTTGGCGTTATGCTGCTCACCTTTTAACAATACGTTTTTAAAAAAATTCAATCAAATTAAAAATGTTGTACAAATATTTCTCATTTTAAAACAATAAAAATTAATGAATAAAAGAAAATTTAATTAGAAAAGAAAAAAAATTAAAAAGAAGAAAGAAATAGTACTTTAATTTTTAATTAGATTAAAAATATTTTTTTTTAAACATGCAAAAAAAAAAGTTAATGAGATCCTAAAAATTAAATGTAATACCAAAATATATATTTTTCTTTTTAAACAATAAAAATTAAAAGAAAATGGAATTAACAAAAAATAACAAATTAAATTTAAAAATAAGAAAAAACTAATAAAGTAAATTTTTAAAAAGTAAATGATATATAAAAAAATTTTTACACAATAAAATCTAAAAAATTATACCAAAAATTTAACTAAAAAACTGAAAAAACTAATTTAGAAAAGAAAAAACAATAAAATAAGTTCCTAAAAATTAAATAAAATAAAAAAAAATTTTTAAAGCAATAACCGAACCATTAAAAGAAAATTTAATAAAATGAAATTAAATTTAGTAAGGAACATAAATTAAATTGAATTAAAAATTATATACATATACCTCTTTTTTTTTAATAAAAATCAGAAAAAGTAAATAAAAAAATTTCGAACTCGGATCTCTCGATTGGCATGGTTGTGCCTGTGAAGAAGGACGCGTACAATTATTTTCGCCGTCAACTATGTTTGCGGGTATAACAGTATGCAAATTCCCAAAGAGTTTTTGGGAAATAATGCTTAAGTGGCATTCCTTGGCCAGGTATAAGTCTATGTTTACGCATCTTTCTTCGCCGCCAATTAGGTTTCCCGCTTTTCTTAAGCGTCTTTTTTCGTCAACTTTTTTTTCGCGTCCTTTTTCGCCGTCAAAACACTAGCCTGCATCTATTCGTGTATAGTGAAGATATGTAATATTGAAGTATTGAATATTTAATATTGATTGTTTGAGCTCTTCTACCATAAAATAAATAATAAATAAATGAGTTTGAAACCTACCTTTTTATTTAAAGTGGCTTTTTTAATTTTGCTCTCTGACCGCAGGATTTATTTGGAAGGGCTTTGTTATTTCAAAGATGTGATTAATTCCAAAAATTGTTAAAAATTTCAATGCAATGTAGAATAAAAATATGGGTAACAAATGCAATAGGAAATTTCTTTAGAATATAAAATTTTAATTTGTTGGATTCACAAGGACGAATAGGTAATTTTTAAGTTGATAAAGTTAGAACGACCAAATTCGAGGATGTTATCCAGTTTATATAAGTCCTTAACATATAATTTTTTCAAAAACAAATATTGCGAAATTTCAAGGATAAAATTTTAAAATAACATTTCACCATTTCTGCACCAGAAACTTGAATCTTTTTAAATTCTACAGGATTTACTTTATACCCATACTTCTTTTCTAAGAACATTTCTCTGAGTTTTTTAAATAATTTTTGAATTACTGACGTCAGAGTGAAAAACTAAAAACGCAATTTTACTATTTGTGTTTAAAATTTACTATCGCGCAGTGTTAAATGTATAATGAGCTAGACATTTACAAAAAATATTAAGAAATATAGCCAATACTGTTCAAGAAAAGGAGTTTCTATTATTGCCATCAGTGCAAATTACAAATCCCGAAAATCCCAGGGTTCTTGGCAAGTAACCAAGATCTGAAATAGACCGGGATCTCGGGATCCCGGGATTAACATTCCTAGTGAAAACGTTGGGTTGTCTGTTTTTTCCTGGCCTCTGTTAAACACATTATAAAGGCGTTATACTTTCGATTGGTATATAGCTGCGAGTAAAATAATAGCAGTAAAATTCAAAATAATGCTGCTGGTAAGTTATGTTTATATATTTATTGTTAATAATTTTCATTTAAAATATGGGTCGATCTGTAAATAAAAGTTTAAAAGTTCGCACAAAGTTCACAAAAATTATTTAAACTTAAAAAAATTTCCAACATAATTTTGATTTTTTAAATAAGATTTCTTATGGTGATTTCGTTTCTTCCCTTGGCCGATGCAAAACGAATTTGATATACACTCAATCCTGTCAAAGGGAATTTTTTTGTCTTCTTGTTGTTGTCTAGCTCACGAATTTTATAATATTGTCGTTTTAAACCACCATCTGATTTTCAGGGCAACCATCTCCCCTGACAAAGCTTCAAGAATGTGACATTTTAAGAAACGAACACAAAATTTTCTCACAATTAAATACTTTGATACATTTAAGTAAACTTCATTCTACTGTTTTTCTTATTAAAGTATAACAGTTCTTATATACTAATAATTCATTTATAATGGTGAATATATTTTTACTAGAAAGTGGCCCCTCGAATATTGAATTCTGCAATTCTTCTCTTGAATCCGTAGCCCTCGCCGCAAGTTACACATTTCCATAGAAGCGCTCTTCATGATTGATTTTCCTACGCTGAAGCATAAATTCTCGTTTTTCCTGGATCGACGTGAGCAGCGAGTAACATTGGATATTAGCGCCAGTGGCATCACCGAGTCGCTGCAATTCGCAATTCCCAATATTAATGAAACGAGTACGATACGCTCGCTGGCGTTGCACTTCCACAAAAATCGTATTGCTCTGCTGGTGGACTGTAAGGAGAGCGCAGCACATGAGCTGGATATGAATTTGGCGAAATTGTACATACAAATGGATGATCCAGTGATTAAATTGGTGAGTCGATTAAGATGGACAACAAATACGTATGTGTATGACAAAATCTTTGTTTACATAAAAGTATGGTAATAAATACGCTCACCTAATTTTTTAAGTTCCGCGAGCGCAAATACCCGTTGCACTTTGATGGCAATGTAGAGAGCGCACTGCAACGTGCCAACTGTCAAAAGGGCCTGAATCGGCGAGGCAACAGACGCATCTTGAAGACTAAAGTCACCACTGAACGAGGTATATTCTAGGGAAAATAATTGCATGACCTTTATAGAAGTTCCAAATTATTTGTGTTTTAGAGAAAAATAAGAAACGCGATGTACGCAACTTTTACAATTCAGATAGCTATGAACGCTATACACAACGTCAACTGCCGCTGGATTTCGAACAACGTGGCGATATACCAATGATGCATGGCGATTGTGAAGGTAAGTGTTTACAATTTTTATTGATATTGAAGTGTACACACTATAAAATAAAATACTTTATTACATATCACCCAGCTTTTGTTTTATCTTCTATCGCTTTCCTGATTTATTAAGCTTTATTTTAATTTACGTTAACCAGTTCATGATTATACTTGTACATATGTACTGCGTTCATACTGAGAAGTTCAAAGCAAAGCTAGGCTTAATTACTAGTGTCTTTCTGGTTTTTCTTTGTCAGTGTGGTTCACTTCCTGTATTTTCGCTTTCTACCTCTCCATCAATTTGTCTCAACTCATTTGCATATCTGGAGTGCAGCTCGCATTCTTCTTTGAAACTGTCAATTCATTTTAAAGACAAAGCCCACACTCGCTTTTAGCGTACACTGAAAAAAATTATACATACGCAATCAGTTATAAAATAGCATTGAAACACATCATATTGTATCCGGCACCGGCCTTGTTCCTTTACGTGAAACATAAGTTTGTGCTTTAAGAAATCCCAGAACCGGAAATGTGGGCAAGGAATTTAATTCTACATAAACGCTATTACCGTTTGGGCCCTTACTCAAGCGAAAATAATTTTGATTTCACCTTACTGATCACATTATAGTAATTTTGTATTCCTTTTGGTGAATTCTAACCCCGGCGACATAAACAAATTCAATGCCAAATAAATGAACTTTCATTGAAATGCAAACGATTTGCAAGTCAAGATGCAAGTTTGTACATCTGGTTAGTGGTTCGAGCTTCTCATGAACAAAGCCATGAAACCGTCGTCGAATTTTGTGGACCGCCAATCGATAATCTAAAATTCAAAAAAGCTTTCAGGCGGTGGGAACTTTGGCATCATAAAGTAACAAAGCATAACATAACACTGAATAGTATACATACTAAGCGATACACAAGTAGTCTTGGATGTTGGTGTGATCAAACAAATTGGGCTTCATGCATGAAAAGTGAGCTTAAGGTCCGACTCCATTTTTGCACTGATAAAATGAGCTCCAACTCAAAGATTTGTACTGAAATTCGCTCGGAGCTAATGCTAACTTTTTATGCATGAAGTGTATTTGTTCAGAGCAAAATTTGTGTCTAAACTTTTAAGAGAAAATGAATTTTAAAATCTCCACTAGAAAACGGCCCCTGATATTAACTTAGGAGTGCTAAATGGCTTCATCTGACCAGACCATGATTTTCTGGTATATATGCTAAATTAATCCTTTTCCATGGTAACCTTATTGCTAACATACTTTATATTTATGTTCCAATGTTCATTTTTTTTTTTATTGAAACATTTGGTCCAACGATTTCACCAACAATTCACGTTCAAGTTTGGTTTTTTTGGTCGCCAGAAGGCATATCCTCCATTGCCGCCGTAAATCACATTGCGAAAGCGTTATTTCCGAGAAGAAGTACGGCGAAATCGGACTGTAACTACGCCCACTTCCCATATAACGCTATTTGTGAAAAATGCAAAAACTAATCTATTTCAGTCTATTTCATTGGGTCCAAATTGTTGAAATTAGTATGTGAAATAGAGTTTTGGTACACAATAACATTAATATGAAATTTTTGGAAAATGGGCGTGACTCTGCCGACTTGTGATGAAATGCCGAATGTCAGTAGCCGATTCAGCAACCCTTACCAAACTCGGTACGAACCTGGAAATCTGTTCAAAATCTTCTGTTGTTTACTCTTTTTAGAAATATTTGAGGACAGTTGCTTTTATTTTTGATATCTTACAAAATATGCACAGCTGCGCTTGAATTTGCCCATGGCGACCTCCCACAGTTTGCTCGGGTTACCAAAACTGGGGGCAACATGTTTCTGCACTCCGATTCCCAATGCAGTCAACTTTTGTGACGAGCGCTTGGGTGTAGCTGCCAGTGTCATTCAGTATAAGCATTTATAATTATATGCATATCTACTTACATATCGATGGTTCTCTGCAATAACTACACAACTCCAAGTATCATATTTTTGAGTTATATAGCCGGTTTAGTTGATAACTAACCATATTTTTCTGTGGAAAATCGACATGTGCTTACTTGTTGCCAAACCGGCAGCCGGCGGTAGTTGTGTCGTTTGTCAGAAAATCGAAGCAGGTAAAACCTTACTACTGAACAGTGGCACTAGTCTCACATTTATCGTAAATATTGGTCAAAAACTGTCGATACGTTAGTGATACTTTTATATGCTCATTTCGTCTTTTTTCAGTATAATCCTCAACAAATCTTTATAAAGTGGTCTTAGTTTTAAAGCTAACCAATTTTTTTTACAGAATGATATACATATATTATTGCTAAATTAGGAAACGCAAAGCCTTTAATTGACTCTGCTGAAAAACATGGAATTTTGAGTTGTGTCGTTATTGTAGAGGACCACCGATATGTATTTATATATTACTTATATGTATGTATGCATGTATGTACTATTTTATTTAATATGCTTATGAAATACTTGAAACAAAGCTAAAATGTTGCGCGAAAGCAATTGCGGTGTACAAAATGGTGCAAAACGTGTGATGTGCATTTTGCTGTTATTAGCTTTGTTTTTTGTTTGTTTATTTTTGCTATGCTGCTACACACTATGTGCTATCTTGGTGTCTGCTGCCTGCTTCGGCCCACATGCATTTGCGCATGCGCAGCGCCTCACAACAGTGAATACCAGTATTCCTACAGCAATAAACGCCTTCAATGTCGGCACCAACATTAACTTCATTGGCGGCACTGCAAACTTGTAATTTTTAGCGCACACACCCTCCTGGCAGGTTGCCCGTCCCCTCTTAAGGCACGTTCCTTTTCTGAGCTCCCGTCGACCCCGCATATTATAAAAGCGCTTATTGAGCAGCTTTTGTGCCGCATCTTTCTTCAGTGTATTTCTGACTCATTTTAACTGCGCTTTAGTTGTACAACAGTTCTTGTACCATACGCTTTTGCATTGTTCGAATCATCATTTTAACGCTTATTGTTCTTTTTACCGCCTTTAGACGCCCTCGCAAAATCCATCAGCGACTTAATGGCACTGGTGAAGCTGCTGCGCGAAGATATCGCCCACCAACGTGAAGAGATCGCCTACTTGCGCAAACTTCTGGAGAACTGTGCTGGCTGCAAGGAACCCTCGACCAACAACAACTTACGCATCGAACCGACTTGTCGCACATCGAATCCCTGTTATCCTGGTGAGTAGTAGATAGGCAAATGTCAAATTTAATTTCACTGATTGTGTTGCTTCCAAACCGCTACATTTGTTGTAACCACCTGGATTCACCACACTTAAGTGCCACACTTGTGGCTTAGCCAAACACTTAAACGATTGATACGCAGCTGCGTGCTTTCATTAACTTACCTAAGTATACGTGCATGTATGTACATATGTATCCATGCGCATTTGAATGATACATACATACTTGTTCATGTTTTACTGAACGTGAAGGTTGTTTCTTGCTCCGGCTATTTTAATCGCATTATTTCTTTTTATTATTGTACGGTTTTTTGTTGCTTTTAGTTCAATTCTTTATCTAACTTTATTTTCCGCTTTTCTTTTTTCTTGCATCGCAGGTGTTGACTGCTTTGAGACCATGGCGGGCCTGAGGTGCGGCCGCTGTCCAGCTGGCATGGTCGGTGACGGCAAGATCTGTAAGCCAGGCGTTACGTGTGCGGAGCGTCCCTGCTATGTGTAAGTGTCACCAATGTGCTCGCTGTTTTATGAGCCTTTTTATTGCCCTATTCCTATTACTATATTTTTTCTTTTAAATTTACTACTCTTCTGGATTTCCCGTACGCACAAAAGCGAAAATATTTTGATGTGCGCATGTGCAATTCTTTCGCACCTTTTGAGGCCTAATTTTGAAGACAGTAATTTAAAAAATGTGCTATAAGTAGTACTAAAAATTTAATGAATAGGAAAACATTTTTATATCTAGAACTGGAAATATTCTGGTTGCAGGCGCATAAGCTCAAAAGTGTTGAGATGGCAAAAATATGTCGAAGGACAGGATAAACAATTTTTAAATTCATATAATATGAACGAGTAGGACAAGATTTCACCGAAATGTGTGAAGGCATAAAATGTAAAGAGTTGAAACGAAGAAGAAAGAACATGCTGCTAAAGAGGCTACATTATTATGGTACAAGAGGGAGGATCAGACTTAAACTAATTTCCCATTACCAGGCGAAAATTTCACCATAATTCGAAAACGCAATAACCGACATGAATCTTAAAATGCCTTAGTTATCTCTATTTCAGCAGTAACCACTTGTTAAATTACTACAATTTGTCAGTCTGTGGGCGGTGTCGCAATCGGCTTCGTATTCGGATTTGTGCATAAGTTAGTGGCAACCCTCTTAAATGTAGTTAAGAAATAAACAAATCTTTTGCGTTAGATATTGCAATACTTATTTCAATTAGTTGATGAATTAAGTTCAGTTTGACTTTTTAAATACATGACATGATAGGAGATATATAGTTCAGAAATAAAACATTTTAAAACCCATGCCAATTGACATCCATATTTTAAAAATTAAATTGACTTATTACATAATTTGAGTTTAACTTTTTACACAGGTGGCAACCCTCTTAAATAATCTTAATGGTAAAACTAAATACTTCTTAACATTCCTTTGTTTGACGCCCATTTTTTAATATTTCATATAAATTATGTATACTTTAAATAAATTAGATTTTTAAAAGAGGTGACTACCCTGTTCACATTATTGTTGTATGTGAAAATACTATATTTCTTCGTTTATAAATATAAATATATTTCAGTAATTTGCAAGAAAAAATGTGTATTAAAATTGATAGACTTTATACTGAAAAAACAATACTAAAAGAAATATTCGCTAATAGATCAAAAATTGCAAAATTTTTAGAAACACTTACAATGAATTACCAAATTTACTTAAAATTATTTCATTTCTGCTCTCTATTCCTGCAACTTCGGCATTCTCAGAAAGAGTTTTTTCTGTTAGGAATGTGAAATGGCGAGATTAGACAAATAAAGCGACTACCTCACTAATAAAAAATTAACTTTTGATTTAAATTAATTTAAATATTTATTGCGATAAAGCATGTGATACTATAAAATAAATCAATTTTTTTATAGAGGAAATGCATAAGGAAGTAAAAATATATATACTTAAAAAGCGTTTTTACTTTTTCTTTCAAATAAAATACTATATATATTTCAAGTGACTTAAAGTACTATAAATATCTTGTAAAATGTTGGCAACCCTCCTCCCACATGTAGTTGAGACACAAAACTTTTGCATATCCATTTTGATTAATATCCATATTATAGTAAGAGATGGCAACCCTTTCCACACTACAAACTACAAACTCATTCGTCTGCCACCCATATCGGGATAAATATTTATTTCAATTTTCTAATTGCCTAGCTTGATTGATTTGAAACAAGTAGTCACCCTTCTACGATATCCACAATGTAATAATTGATTTAACTCACTAAACAATATGAGATTAATTATTTATCAGGCGTCAAATCTTGTCGAAAAAATAAAACGTTGCTGCCCATTTACAGGCCGAGCCTTTCATTTTTATATTAATTCTGTGAAAATTACATCAGTCCTAATTTCAACGAAACCGAAAGCATATACATTGTAGGTATATATTTTACAACACAAAAAAATCTTGCTAAAAAATTAACTGTTTTTCGCTAAACTTCGTCGTTGTGTGGACAAACGTATAATAGAGAGGTTTTCAGTGTCCCACCAGTCACATTCATTCAAAAAATAGTTACAAAGAGCTTAGAATTGGTTTGATATATATATAGTTTTTTTTTTAATTTTATATATTAGTTGTTTATCTACATACATATCGTCACTGGACACAAATTAAGGCGCGACCTCAAAAGTTGACTGCGATAAAAGGCGCATAAAAAACTTCAGCGACGAAAGACTCTTAACATATGATTAGCCCACTTATGATTACATGTGTATATCTTGGTAACCGCTACACCAATTTCTCCCAAACTTACATATCAAACGGCTGACAGTTTTTAAAATCGGACAATAACCACGCCCACATCCCATATAACGGTAATTTAGATAAATACAGAATTGATGTTTGCAATAATTCTTTAGCAAAAAACACGTTTATGATAAAATTTTGGAAAATGACCCACTTATGACCAAGTAGATATGTATGTATGTATATCTCGGTAGCCGTTCGATTAATTTGAACCTAACTGGGTACGATTATTTCGCTTAGCACATAATAGCAAAACGTTACGGACTAAAATTACTCCCACTATTCATATAACGGTAAATTTCAGAAAGTCTTGAAACTTCGATATTTCGAAATTTCAGGACGATAATGTACTCAAAATGTATACTGACAATAATCCCTTGAAAAGAAGTAACATTATTATAAACTTTTAGAAAATTGGCGAAATATCGCCCACATGTAACTATATAGTTTAAAGAAGATGTATGAAATAGGGATAAAACCACCCCTGCTTACCATGTAGCGCTAGTTTTCGGAAAGGTGAAAAAAGCTATATTTAGATAATACTTGCGCCGGGTATCTAATGTTCAGCTCCGCTCGAACTTAGACTTTTTTTACTTTTAATTACAATTATCTGGTGTAATGCTGATTTGCAATTGAGCGTGGTGAACCAGCCTATGACGAAAATAGTCCAATTCGAAAAGATTTTCTGAGATATTTTAAGAGGATTTCGCCAAAATATCTCTTCGTTAATAACGCATTTTCCATATATATTTTTTTAATGAAAGCATTTTTAGAAATGGTCATGCCAATTTCAGCAACAAAATTAAAAAAATGTGATTTAACTGTGGATTTTAAAAGATTGTTTATTCACTAACAATGCTTGTTGGGGAACTTTTTTTGTAGGAAAAGAAAGTATTTTTTGAAGTTATTGCAAATGCGTATTAAAACAAATTTTTGTACAAGCTACAGAACTAGGGGGGTAGGTTATGTTAGGTTTGATTGAAGCGGCTGCCTTCATCCAACGTAGGAGAGAGGCTAACTCAAACTGAGGGCTCAATTTCGAACCTGTCCGTTTACCTAGAAGTAGAACCGTAATAATACCTGTCATCAGCCTTAGTAGAGGGCGTTCTAGCTGAATGAGTGCATCGGATCTGTTCCTGTTGCTGTTGTGCCAGATTTGTCGAGTCGTACCACACGTGGGTTTTTCCGATCATATTTTATTTTCCTTCTCGACGAAGTATGTGTTGAGCCATATCTTGCAGTAGATAGCGATATTCCCGCCGCATGAGAAGAGTTGAGGTCAGAAAGGTTGGTTACCTTGTTCGCAAGCTCTTA